CTGAAAGATATTGTTAGCATTTATACAATACTGTATTGTTATTTTTGTTTTAAGATGTACTGTACATGACAATTTATTTAATATTAAGTATTATTATATACATTGATGGAAATGGGTATATATGCAGGTTATGGTGTCAGCCCATCCTCCGAATAGACAGTACGTTTTAATACTAAACATAATAAGTACAATCCCGACTATCGGCATAGTGCATAAATACACTTAATCGCCAGCATCACACCAAAATATTATGAATATTAGAGTTTACCTGAAAAGCTTTATAGAAAACCCTGACCAACCTAACCTTAAAAGTGTAGGAGGACAAGCATGTAAATAGCATTTATTGCTTCTTAATTACAATTACAGTAGTACTTAACCTATTGCTATATTGATATTACAATTTTATAAAATTAATAAAACAAAATTAAAGTCTTTCAATAAATTATAAAGTAACTCAGGATATTTTAAAATTTTGTACAATATCTCTATTGTTTCATAAAACTGAAAAAGAAATTCTTTATATTTAAAACTTGTGTATATAGAATTGAACATGAAAATTTCAATCTAAAAATTTTGAGTGTATTAACACAAAATTAAGAGAATATATGGGGAGGTAAATGTAACAGCACAATTAGGTGTATTTATGTACTATGCAGACAGTCAGGAATGTACTTATTACATTTAGTATTAAAACGTACTGTCTATTCGAAGGAAGGGTTGATGGTGTATACCTACTTTTCAATTTTCATTTTTGATGTTCAATTTCTGTACCAAAGGTAACATTTATTAGCTATCCTTTGTCAAGTTTTTATCAATTAAAATTACTTCTTCATTTGTAATAATTCTGGATGGGCCCCCCCTTGTAATCCCTGAGCATAAATCTTGGATACAGCCAACAAGACGCTGTTCACAGATGTTCCTCAATGCCACAGAAGTGTGGTGCATGGTGTTAATGTGGCAGGAGTGACACCAGTGAAGCAAAACCACTACAAGGTCAGCCCAGAAAAGCATAAAGCAATGAGGAAGTTGAATATCTGCTGGCAAATGAGTTGGCCAAGGTCAGTGACAATAAGTGGTGTTTGCCCTGCCTATAAGGAAGAGTGACGGTCCATACCATTTTTGTACTCAATTAAAGAAGGATGAATGCCTCCACTGTCACTGACTCACACCCCATTCCTCAGATCAGTGACTGTGTGGACCAAGTAGGTAATGCTATGTTTGCATCCAGTAGAGTTGCTGCAGGGTTTTTACTAGGTAGCATTGATAAAATGGCCAAGAGAATATCGGTGTTCTTGACACTGGATAGCCTGTATCAGTACAAGTGTTGCCATTCTGTTTAACCAATCTGCTGCACCTCTGTTACATATGACAAGCGCCTTGTGTGCAGAAAAATAATTTCCCCAATTTGTTTTTCTTATGTTGCTAAAATGCTTTCTCTGATCACTGGAAACTAAAAAAAAAATTGTATGTGACATAATTTGCCCATGATGGGATGAGGAAGTCTGGGAAATATTCACACACTGACATGCCAGTGATGGTGTGCTCAAGCCGAGCAGTGTGGCGGGCACTGCCAGAAATACATTTTTATATAATTATTTAAATATCTTTGAATAGTTTTCTATCTAGTTTTTGCAGTAATATTATTCAATAGTATGTAATTTTAGGAATTTATATGCAGCATTTGCCGGCATATAAGATGCACTTTTCTTAATTTTAAATGTATAAAAAAATTCCCCTGCGTCTAATGTGGCTACATTACAGATGTGAGACCGAGCACCATACGATAGGGGAGCCTAATGAGTCTACTGGGTAAATTTGCTAGGCACAATAATCACTACTAATAATAAAAAATTGAAAACAAGCTGAGTTATCACAAACTTATGAAAAATTGCTTACAATATACGTTGGCAGTTACAAAGGAAGCTTACATCATCTCACCATCTTACCTAGCATACATAACCCACACCTGATAGATGTCATACATTATTTATCCCTTGTGTTGCTAAGGGCTATTTGGCCATTGTCACCCACAGGCACATAACAAAAAATAAAAAATTAAATTTTCCTTCTAAACCTGTTAATTTGTGTGCTCTGATCATGGAAAAAATAATAAAAAAATCGTAAGTGGCATATTTTGCTTGCTATAGGGCAGGCAAGTCTGGCAAAAAAGAGGCGCCGACTCATCATGCATCCCAGGCGGTCTGCTCCGCCCCAACTGTCAAGCAGAAGTGGCCACAAAGAGATAATTACCTAATTATTTCAATGTCTCTGATTGATGTTTCTTCGTTTTTTTGCTGTAATATTATTCAAGTGTGTAGTGTGATTATTTATATAATAAAATGTGTGAATCATCACTGTACTCAAAATTATGGTGTGCATATTGTTGATTCAATTATTATGTTCATCAAACAGTGAACAAATACTTTGTTGGTTATTACACTATATACACAGGTTATATATAAGTATCTGCATGTTTTGTTCACCATAACAAACCACTAAGTTGGTATTATGAGTCAAAAAGCAACGAGGTGTGACCACCACACACCAGCCAGCCACTCGCTTTCACTCACTCCCTCAACATCTCACTCGCCCACATTCTCCTCCCACCATACTGTTTTTGCTTTTATTTACTATATACAGACGTTATATATAATTATCTACATGTTTTGTTCACCACAACTGTACAACTAAGCTGATATAGTTAGTTCAGGCACTATGAGACATCGATACACTCACAGTCAGCTGGCGGCTGCCTCCCTCACACATTCAATGTCAGACGCACAAAAATTTCTCCCCCAACAATAATGTTTGTGGTGTTATTACACTATATACAGATGTTATATATAAGTATCTACATGTTTTGTTCACCACAACTGTACAACTAAACTGAGAAGTTAGTTCAGGCACTAGGAGATGTTGCTACACATAGTCAGCTGGCGGCTGCCTTCCTCACACATTCAAGGTCAGACACACTAAAATTTCTCCCCCAACAATACTGTGGTGTTATTACCCTAAATACACACAATATATATATAAGTATTTACATGTTTTGTTTACAATAACTGTTCAACTAAGCTTGTATAGTGCCCAAAGAGCATAGTTGCCACCCCGACCAACATGACAAATCATGCAGATGTCGCCACCTTCCTCACCAAAATGGCTTCTCCCCCACACTCCTTTTGCTGTTATTACACTGTATGTACACATTATATATAAGTATCTACATTTGTGTTCACCATAACGAACCACTATGTTGGTATGCTGAGTGGCAGTGGAAGCCAGTGGCAGCCAGTGGCAGCCCGCCACGGTTGTCACTTCCTCCCTCCCTCACCTCACCTGACTCGTCACCATTCTCCTCCCACCATCACTGTTTAGGTTTTATTCTCTATATACAGACATTATATATAAGTATCTGCATGTTTCGTTCACCTTAGCAAACAACTAAGCTGGTATAGTGAGTCCAGACAGTAAAAGGTGGTCACAGAGAGTCAGCAGACAATGCTACCTCCCTCCCCACCAAGATTATTCCTCCCACTACAGCGCTAATTATCACAACAATCCTGCTATTATCAGAATCCTGGTAATTTTTATCACAGTCAGGGGTCTTCTGTAATACTATCATCACTAAATAAATAGCATGAACATATATATTATGGCATTTTTAGGCGATGCTGTGGGTCACAAGCTGAACAGCAGTGCTGTGAGCTCATACTGCGTGCGCCAGCCATGGTGGCTCACTGTTACGGCCCTCTCGGGTCGCAATCGGGTTCTTTCTCTGATGTTGTTAGAGGTAGGGTATCCGGCCCCAAGCTAGTAGTGGCTTTCAAGGGATGTGATCCGTAACGCAAGTAAATTAAAGGGGAAGGGAAATAAAGGCAAAAACTTAATAATATAATTATTACCGTCACCATAAATAATATATAAAAGGTTACACAAAGGGGGGGGGGGTTAAACACTATTATATACAACGTAGTCTTCCTCTGAAGACTCTGGACGTTCACGGTGCTCAACAAGGCTAAGCTCTTAGTCCTCTTGTGGCCTTACGATGGATCCTTCGATTCTCTTGAGTTTACCCTGGCCACAGGCCAGCCAAATCACAGTTCCACTGGGGGCACCGTCGTGGAGGCCGTCAACCACAAATCCAGCCGGTAGCTGGCAGGTTCCAAATCAGCAACGCTGGTTAGGCCACTCCACGATCGATACTAAGGTCGCGAGCCCTAGTCAGGAGCCTCGTGTGATCCCACAGGTCACTCTCCTTTCCACAACACCCCAGTGGTTAAGCATCTCCACCAGTCAGTCCCAGGTATGACAATCCCTCAACTGCCACTTCACAGGCAGGCTAACACCACAGTGTTCATCCGGGGGGCGACTCACAGCTGCTGCAGCAAATACTTGGAGACAAGACGGCTGCCTTGGGTAGACTGATCCAACTTCCATTACAGCAGTCCCAGGTCGACTCTGTAATCAGACACGTTATCAGTAATAGGGACACTCTAGGGCACCTCACTTACAGGCTTAGACACAAACGCCCGACGTATCCACTCCATAGATGGCGTTGCTGTCTAAGCTCCACCTCACCAGAGGTCAGCAGCGGCTGTGTTATGAGCTGATCAGGACGGGAAACTAGCCCTTGTGGCTGGTATTTCCTGTCCTCACTTGATGGCGCCGTCCATTTGGAGGGGGTTTCGGGAGCTGACCCACAGATGGCGCGGTCGTCACTGCTCCGTGCTCGGACGTTGGGCTCGGGTCCGTAACACTCACTCAGTACTGAGGCCCTCACACCCGAGAATTTGGCCCACGATTTTTTTAAAAATTGGCGTCTGTTTACAAGAGCCCTGATGAAGGCAAGGTGAACCCCGTGAATCCACATGCTGTTTAATTCTTGCATAGTACTCCATCGCGTCATATGACGCGATGTGCAATTTATTGTAAGTTACTCAACCCTTCATATGACGTGTTGCGCAGTTTAAGGGTTAACGACAATGTTAGCTTTAACAACT